TAAAGTCAGTCAGGAGGTGAATTCAGCTCAACGTCTGCATCCGGCCACCATTACTACATGTACATGGCATTAGTCCACCAACAAGCAATATTGTGCACGCGCATGCAAGGTGATCATCACGTGATTTTTGTTTTTATATTTCGTATTATTTCTTCAGAGCAATGTGACCTCCCGGATCTTCTCGGCAAGGCAGCACCCATCCGCTTTGTTTCCATTCCGCGGTGCCATTGACAAAATCACCGTGTGTGCCGGTTCTCCACGCCAACATTGAACGATACCACCACAACCCTGGTATGGCTATTCACGACGGCAATGAATATGAATCCCAGCTCCAGTTGCCTTTTATCGACCAATCTGCACTTTTGAAGGCCTCTAGTAGGTCCAGGCTTCAATACCCACTTCTCGCGTCTTCGTATGATGCAACCTCCAAAATTCCAAACGTCGTTTGAGGACAGATGGAGGTGTGAGGTTTGTCAGATTTCGATCCCCTGAAAGTCGGTCAGGAATGTTTCAAGTGAGATTTTGGTATTCCTCGCTCCTCCATTCCAAGCGACCTGTACCTTGGGCTCGGGATAGATATTCTGCTTTTTCAAGAGTCAGTTCTGCCAATTTCTGCTCTCTCGTCTGTGATGCTGTTTTCTGCCGAATTTCTGTCGGCATTATCCGCCAGTCCCTAACCTGTACGCACTATTTAGCTATCGTGATCAGTTTGCAAACCCACTGCACATGAGAGTCTGCTGCAGCATCAGGCTGACATCAATGGAGGCTCTTTCCCCAGCAACAGATCATTGCAACATCAAACTAATAATTATAATACTTGATCTATTCTGGATCCGACTGCCCCCAGAATAGAATGTCTGCTGTGTTCAGAGTTCAGACTGGCAACTGCCAGCTCAGGGCCAGTACAGTCACAAGCGATCACACCTGTGAACAGTATTGTCAATATACATGTAGAGCAGTATTAGGTGGAAGAGGATGGTAATATCGTGTCCATTTTAATGCATCTAAAATCCATTATCTTGAGCCGATGCTGACATGTCATACCATGAACATGACGATCGTGTACGGTGTCGTGTCGTGAATGCAGATTGCACCATTACCCGCACAGGTATATTTACTCGAACGCATCTTAGAAGCCTGGTGTTGGAGGAGGGGAATACCTCAAAGGAAATATGTCGTACGACGACAGCATTTGTGCCAGTAGATAAGGAAATGGCCACTCGAGAACCAGATGGTAAAGAGGAGCAGACATGTAGAATTAAGAACAGTTCACTCCCATTTGGCATCATTTCTGGTTTTCACTTGGACATATTGGCTCCTAACAGAGCTAGAAGACAAAACTGCGGACAATACTCTCCTGCAATGATACTGCAATGTAAGCACCTGTCATTTAGCAGACCCTGATATGGCATATTATACGAATTCCATTGTCCCAAGATTCTCTGCCTGCTAGCATAACAAAACTGTAGCTCTGCTGAAAATCTCCCGACTCGCAGGGGTGCGAGCGTTCCTCCTACTCTCGCATTCCCAAATATTTCTATAATTATTCGAGTACTGTCATCCTACTTTGATAAGTGGAGCGTTTAGTTAATATTAGTTCTGGACACCGTAGGGTCTAGCAGGAATACATGTACACCAGCGAGCAGAACAGCATAATTGTTGTATAAAGTTACGTGCTTCTCCGGAGTATTGATGTCAGAATTCGTTAAAACGCAAGCCTCGATTGTCAATTGAGAACAGCTTGCTCTATAACAGTTGATAGCATTCATGCATGCATCTTTCATTGAAAGAAGATTGCGACATAGCCTTCCATGGTTCCACGGATTCAGGCTAAAGACCCGATCAAAAGATCTTCAAGAAGAGAAGGCAATGCAATACTTATAGTACACAACTGTAGCAATACTCCACAATCTATTCTCCGTAGAAGAGCATCTGCACTTTTTGTACATCATTCATTGCCAAGTTGAAACTCTCCCCTTCAATGTGCTGCAAAGGCTGTCGGGAACGTCTTGCAAGCTAGTTTCCTTGTCCATTGAAGAGCATGAGAATGTTTTAGAGATGCCACGTGCTGTCCAGAAGACTGGGACCGAGCCTGGAGTTGAAAATAAGATATGTAACTCCTCGATCTTTCCAAAAATACCACGGAGCGATAGCCTGACATTCTAGAGCGACGAAAAGACCATTGCCCATTGGACCCTGATTCCATGCACGGCAACTGGTACACTGTAATACCTTCGCTATACACATTGTAGCTATTAAAGTCTTGTGGTGATGATGTCACGATGATGTCATTGTTGATGCCGCGGTTCGATGGGCCGATTGGCGATGGCTCAGTTTCATTGCATCAAGCCACTCATGTCATGTACATGTACATAGCCATTGCGCAACCGCGAATCTTCTTGTGATGAATTTCAACCTCAGTGTGATGAATATCTGAAATCGTTCTCTTCTAGATGAAGATGTCATTGATGAACAACAGAACTTTTCAAGTGCTTGTACTTGTATGACCGACGAGTTCATGTCCACAATTGAGATACATGTACGATGCAATTTGTAGCAATTTGCTAAGTAACTAATAATAGTACATTGTACTGGATCAGTGTCGCTTCTGCTGCTCAGGGATCGCTGTCCTGTGTCCAGTGTCGATACACGTACAATCGTGTAGGTGTCAGGCTAGCTCTACATCATCACGACCACTGTGTAGTCATACACATGTATACAGTGCTCAAAGACTTTTATATTGGCAAGACCACAGAACAACAACAAGGGCGATCAAGGTTGTTTGCTGCTACTTGAAGTTTCATGCTTTCTCAATCATCAGGCAACATCTACTGAAAAGACCATAACTATCCGGAAAAATGAATGGAAGAATCCAAAGTTAGCGCATGCCATACAAACTACAGGCAATTCGCAGTCACTATGAGCAAAGCAGATCATTATGATTATACCATAGCGCAACTAAAAAGCCGGCTAAAATTAGTATAGGCCTTTCCATGTACATGTACATGTACAGTGCTGGCAGTTGAAATCCGACCCCTTAGTGGTGCGTCCACATTCTAGCGGTCACTGTTTCGTAGTTTTACCATCCCGTGTTGGGTCTTTGCGATGTGAGGGGTCGGATTTCAATTGCCAGCACTGTAGTCTGTACATGGCTACAGCAGTATACACAGTACAGTCGTGTATATGATTATACATTATGTTGTTAGTTTGACAGCATGATAATTATACCATGATTGTACATGTACATGTAGCGAGTCTGCGCATCCTAGTGCGGTGCTGATATGGCAGCTGCCAGACATTCTTTAGCAGCCGGGCATCATGTCATTGCTACAAACCACCACTTAGACACTCGCACAGACAAATTGCTGTTCGAATTCTACGCACAATGTGCCAACGACCACCCTCGCGCAACTTCCGCAGTTTCGGAATGCCACTTCAGTAACAGCATCCAATTCTGTCACCACGATCTGTTGCTAGCATGACGCTTGTGTTATCCCCAATTAGTTTGGCCGTTAATAAAAGAAATCCAGGAGGCGATAATCGCCAATTGTAAACTCCCAGTGGTCGGCGAGGATACGTTTCCGACTTCCTCCGGGCGGACTGTTACGATCTGCTGGGGCACAAGTTTATGACGTGATTGCAGACGTAAAAAATGTTACCAGATTGAACGATTGCAGTGCAAGTGAGACAACACGTCATATGGTAAGTGTCAAATCACTCTCCGAGTGGGGGCAAACAGCCGGAATTGACCGGGACAACATTGAGACAAGTGTGAGCAGCTCGGCACGTACACCATTGTCTCGTTACATCATGCCAATACAGGCACAACAAATACTGGAAGAAGACAGGGTGAAGGACACGGAAACTCCGCCACGGAACACATACATGTACATGTCGGATAAAGAAGTAGTTACTGAACGGTTAAGTTGAGCGGCGCACAATTCACGAGTGGCAAGGTTGAATCACAGTCATGTAGCAATTCTCAATGTCTCCAATTGCTGCCATCGATCCTGAAGTCAAAAACTAGCTCCAACTACCACTTAAGACAATAGTCAACGTCCTAACTCCTAAATGTAAGTCAATCTGAGCAAGTTGAACATAACAAGTCGTCACTAAGCTAAAAGAAAGATTCAAAGCGAGAATAAAGTGATTGGCATCCAGCAGCGCCTGGAAAGTCACGCAACCCCGGAAAAACTCTTCGCTTCATCCCCAACAACAATGATACGGTGACTTTTTTTATCTCTCCTTCGACATGTCCGCCAACTGATCCTTCAAACAATGCTGTCAATAGTCGTCTTACAATTACAGAAGACAGGGTTAGAGGCACGGGGGCTATAAAGATGCTCTTGCAGACTTGAGCTTCTGGACGGAGCCACTCCTCAAACATCTGTGTGTCATGCTCATGTGCGTCACTAGCTGAAAACTCGGTACTGCTCGCCTGGGAGACAGACTTGGTTCAGGTCGTTGTACTAGTGTAGTATTGGCGTGCACATGATCCAGTGGTTGTTTAGATGCTCTGAGGCCTTACTCCTACGGGAGTGGTGTAGCTGCTGCTGCTGCTGCTGCTACAACCCGGAGTAAGGGATATGGCTGACTGGAGTAAGGGATATGGCTGACTGGAGTAAGGGATATGGCTGACTGGAGTAAGGGATATGGCTGACTGGAATAAGGGATATGGCTGACTGGAGTAAGGGATATGGCTGACTGGAGTAAGGCATATGGCTGACTGGAGTAGTGGGTTTGGCTGACTGGAGTAAGGCATATGGCTGACTGGCCAGGGCTATAAGTAGAAGGCAGCGTGCAATGTATGTTCTGGAGTGATAACGCCAATGTAAACTGGAAACTCCCCCCCCCCCCCCCACCTCCCCGAATTGTCCCAGTACTGATGTGGCGCTAGTGTGTGTAGTTTACACGTGATGCTACCACCACTACCTCATGCTCTACACTACCTCATGACCACCATTACCTCATGACCTACACTACCTCATGACCACCATTACCTCATGACCTACACTACCTCATGACCTACACTGCACCATGACCTACACTGCACCATTACCTACACTGCACCATGATCTTGCTCCTTCTTTGCCCATACTTGGGCATGCGTGGCTAGCGTGCTCACTTGACAAAACCCGGGCAAGAAGGTCCTTACAGACGAAATCCTGAACATAGCATCTGACAGCCATGGGCTAGGCAATTGTCTGGCATTTCAACAAGCAGGTGCTCTCTGTGTCTCCTTTGCCTCATAGGATCAGCATGTCATTATGATGGTGTATGGTGGTGGTGGTGGTTGTGCCAAATAACATCAACTGAAACTAAGCATTCACGCTCAAGGCTACGCGCACACACGCGTACGTGCAAAGTCCAAACCACCTGTAGCATACCTGGAAATACCATTGGCACACGCAAAAGCTGAAAACAGCAAGACAGATTACAGGCAATGGTGTGCTCCAGGATAGCATGGCAATGCCCTGGAGATCTTGTTGGAAGTGCCCTGGAGATCTTGCATGGCAATGACGACATGATTTGCCCCAGAAATCGTGTGCGATGGCCATCCAGCATCTAGGAATGCCTTCATGCAGAACGGTAGCACCAGCAGGGCAGCTCTGAAAGGTCAGCCATCCACCTTGAAGACAGCGCTGCTGGATTCTCGGTCATGACTCTGTACTTGACAGCACAATGGGAAAGATCCGTTGAAAAAGAAACTCAAAACAAAAAACAAAAAACAGCAAGGGTGTAGTAGCACTGAGCCAGAATCTTTACGTAGACTTTCCGGCAATAATGACAGATCGACTCGTCACACACGTGCATTGCACTGACTTCTGCGCAGCCAATATTTGGCGGAGTGAAATGGAATCGCTCGGCATATGCAACACATTTCAGGCCATGGAGTGGACCTTGACGCAATGTGCTGTACAAGATTGTACTCCGCTTAAGCATATTGACAAGCGTGCCCTTGCTTGTACAAACGCTAACACTGATTCATTCGGGTAAGCGCAAGTAACTTGTAAAGAAACTTCATGTAGTGCATGTATTAGAAAAGTACCCTCCAAATGTCTTGCGCAAAGCAGTTATAACAGGAACAAGCGCCAGTTACCGTAATGGCTGACACTTGTCGTCAGCTACTTGCAGCAATTGCAGCAAAGACTGATCAATTTACCATCAAACACACTGTTTCTACAACCCTTCTGTTCCGCTTGAACCCTGCCAGGATTGTGCTACCAATTGACGACTAACACATTGGAATGGCTTGACAGCAACGCCAAGGCCTTGCTCTGACTCACTGCCAGTACTGTGATTCAGCCAATACAACTAACTGTCCACGCTCAGTCAACAGGCAGTGATACACATACCTTGCATCGCTTTGCAATCGACCAGCGGCAGCTCTCCTTGTGTGGTCGAAAGTCATGTTTGCGACAATCATTGTGACCTTGCACAGCACACTGCATCAACAGCTAAAGCAGTGTTCCCATTATGCTATGTACTAGCATTAAGCTCAGCAAGCAGATGAGCGGTCATTGTTGTCCTCTGTGCTCATACACTGTGCGGCGCTGTGCAGTAAACCTACGATGTGGAAGCAGCAGAAAGCAAAGTGAACACAGAGACCAATGTAGAGGAGAGTGCATGCATGCACACGGCTCCTACTCCATCCAGCATGTGTGTACACACACACACACACACACACACACACACACACACACACACACACACACACACACACACACATATACACATACACACACACGTGCGGACACATACTGTTAGCTGTTCTAATACAACATGGGATCCAGAACACGGGAAAGGAACTGCATCCACAATACATACACAAGTAAATGGGCAGAGAGTGACTATTCGTAATGGCTTTGTCATGTGTTCATACTGATACATGTACAATGACGGATGTTTCTTCGTTTCGGTGTGAATGCTTGATTTGAGCACTTCCCTAAGCTTTCTTCTCCTTCCAACTCTTACTTTCTCAAAGTTCTTGCCAGTAAGATTGTCCTGGGAATATTCCGCTGGCTATTTGCTGGTTACAGGCCACACTCGTTTGCCAATGCACACAACGTGCACACAACATGTTCCATGGTCGTCTGTGACCGCTCACACGCTTTGCCAGACCTTGAGCAGCAGCAGTAGTGACATCGCGATGTATTGCGGCGACGATACACGTACCGTGTGACAATTAGCCACCGCACCAACCCCCTGTGTGCCCTGTTTGGCGGGCAATTGGCTGACGCTCGGAGGACCTCCTTGATGACAGTGACAGTGAACCATAAAACTGTAAACAACAGTCAAGTGTACACTGGTGGCAACAGTGATCATGTTCAGTCTCTACTCTCTACGCAGTGTGACTGTCAGGATTGAGACCACACACGGGTGGGGCTGGTCTACTGATGATGAATAATGACTCGGGCAATTGCCACAAGGATATTCACCCTGGAACTAACACTACCAGAGACGCTCAGTTCAAGGCTGCAGCACTGCCAAATTACCTACACGTGCATGTTACGAGCTCAATACAGTCATTGTAGTTGTGCAGTGCTTCGATTGAATATTCAAAAAGCCACCAAACAACACACATGCATTTAACGATGTATTGTTAGCATTGAGGAATCGTAAATTGGTGTTTTACAACTCCCTGGTTAGCGTGCTACCTGCATGCACTATTGTACCTGTCTGACACTCACCCCATTTCCCCCTTGCACCTGGTCGTGGCTGCTGCAGATACTCTATCAGGTGCCATGGATACCTGGCAGTCGCTCAATACCCACGGCTATTCTCAAACAAGCCGGCCCTCCATCTCCTCCATGTCAGGCAAAGCTTTCCGAGCGAGGTCGCCTCCTAACTGCCACCGTTTCCGTTCGGAGCTTCCCACTGGTGAACATCCTGCAGCATGCATCTGCTTCAAACAAAACACAACCGTTCAAGATCAACTTCATGTCCGTCGTCATTCTCTCCCGGGTGGCAGTAACTGGCCCGGCAACAAACACTTTCTGTGGCAAATCAATCTATACCTGCCTTCCCGGCACTTATTAATGTGAAGCTCCACATTTTTATACGTGCATGTTCTTTGTTTTGCTTCTCTCCTTCCTTCTCTGCTAACGTTACATGTATTTTAGTCAATCTGCCTCTTTTTCGCCACGTTCAATGATTGTTTCTGGTGCGTTCTGTCTGCGGTGATGCTGAGACCTTCCCGGTCGGCTGAGTGCGAGGGCCCCACCGCCACTCTTAGCATCCTGCCCCGCGGGAGGCGTGCAATTTTGTGCGCTCTGCTTGTGCGAGTTGAGTAGTGACGGTGTTGAGTCACTTTGGTCCAGTATCCGCCGGCTAATGCAGAAACTACAGTAAACCTCTCAAGGCGATGACTCTGATAAGGCGACCGGCCACCTGTCCCAAAGGACCACTACAACTTGGACCAAGGGCCGTTATTTCCAGTCAAACGACCCTGGTAACAGAGACCACGTCCTGAAGATCCCTTGAGCGGTCGTCTTTGGAAGGTTCCACTGCTTGTGCACATGTACAGTGCAAGGCTCAGTACTCCATGTTACCCTGAGTGATCATAGGCAAATACAGTGGTCCCTCTATAATCCGGCACCATTTGTGCCATGAAAATCTGCTGGATTAGAGAGGGTGCTGGATTAACAAATCTGATTTACTGCTGCAATGTGCATGAAGAGGACATTTTGGCTACTGAAAATTGTGCTGGTTTATCGAGGGTGCTGGATTATAAAGTGCCGGATTAGAGAGGGACGACTGTACAGCACTATCAGTATAGCACTGATGCTCTGCCTGCATACAGGATTCCCAATGGCTTCCCTGCTACATGTGTCAATGGTTTGCCTTCATCCACAGCCGGAAACCTCTATTATGAACCGATCAGTGCACACATCCAGTGCCCATCCACACCAGGTAGACGATTTGTGCTCTCCGATTTTGTCTAGAGGCTACATGTAACTGTTCAAAGCAAACACGGCGGTCACGCAGGGAACCCCGTGTTTTCATCATGACACTATATTAATGGCAGCACAAGCCGGCAGTACTCAACACAGTCATATGAAGCATAGGCAGAACATGTCTTTAGGGACACCTAGGGTTGTCAGACCGGCCATCTTTTCCCATACACCTGTACAAAATACTACTCGTCCCAGAAATGCAATGAGGATAGAATCATGGTCCCGCCACTTGGCACTGGATGACGATACCAAGCACCTCATGAGACCAATTTGCCTACAAAAAATTACGTTATCTGGGTTTGTGGCCCTTATATTGCTAGGTCGTCTGCATACCAAATGCAGACCTATGACGTGCAAAGCTTGTCATAGATACCTGGCGACATATGTAAAAAGAAATTTTAATTAATACAAGTAATTTATCCAGCCAACTGACCGTCCCCACTGCATGCAGCTGACTAGAGTGACCCGGAACAACTGAATGTCCGAATGTCACTGCCCAGCAGCTGACATGTGCCAAGTAACAGTTGAGTTGGTTAGCACCGCTTCCAGTTTAAAATAGGCGCATGACATGACCATATCCACGAAAAGCAAGTGGCTAGTACTATTAGCATTAGTTGTACCTTGCAAGTACCGAACTCTTCCTCTCCTCTCCTCCATGCGCTCTCACAGCCGACTCACTGCTACCCTCAGTAGCCATTACACACACCAACCAAGGAAGGGTTGCAGTTGCAAGTACCGAGCTATTTTATCATTGATTGTAGACTGATTTGATCCATAATTATCTTCCTTATTGGCCATGGGCCATCGTGGAAATACAGAGTAATAAAGCTCTGGCTTACCCAGAAACAAAGTAGCTGCTGGCAATCGCCCTCAACACCATCATCCGCCAGCCTGCAATAGAAAAGGTGGGAAGTACCAACGATTCCCAGCCCGCTAAATCATGCAGACGGGAACATGTTACGCAGAAACTTACTTGAAACAAGAGGGACACTCTTCCTCGAAAACTAATTTCTTTCTCAAACATTCGTTACACTAACGCCGAGTGTTACAGTTACCAAACTGGCTTGTCTTTTCTACTTTCTTGTGTGTTTTTTTGTACATGTACATGACATGATCTCAGTCAGACATGGCATCATCTAATCTTGCTGTGGGATTTTCATTCGCAAAGCTATGACCATGATGACGAAGTGCCAAAATTCGACCCTCTGCGGTCCGAGTCGAAGGAGAAACTTAAAAGTTATGGAGATCAACCACTTATACTATGTTATAGAGCCGAATTATGACAGGCATCAGGATCAATGACTATGTCCACACATCGCGGAAGTAGCTGAACTAAGGGAGGATGTTGACCTTTTCTTTTGATACACACCAGCGATAAGTTACTTATCGCTGGTGTGTATCAAAAGAAAAGGTCAACATCCTCGGTGATCAAGACAGGCCTACTAATAGTATTAGTAATACTATTCTGTCCCCGGGGAAAATTGCGATTCCGCGGCCGCGTTTTTTTCCGCGTTTTTGCGATTTTTTAAAAGACCGCGTTTTCCGCGATTTTCCCGCGTTTTTTGAACTTTTTTGTTACACTACACGTACACACAGTGCACTGTTCGGTCAGCAACGTCTCATCGTGGCGGATTTTTACTCAAATATGACGAGTGCTTACACCAGAGACTTGTAACTGATTGATTTCACTACATACTCACTGAAAATTGCCGCACCTCAATATTATTCACCGCATATTCACCGCAAATTATGCCGCGTTTTTCCCCGCGTTTTTTTGCAATTTTTTTCCGCAATTTTCCCCGGGGACAGACATATATAGTGACCTGGTCTACAACTGGTCGGTTGGACAGTGAGAAGAATCTGCACTGGTATACATCGATGCTGGAGTGAAATCCATCGCCAGCCGCGGGGTGGGCTTCTTCGGTTAGTTGCGAAATCTTCACAAACGCCACACAGCATCTAAACCTGAATTCACTAATACAGTCGTCCCTCTCTAATCCGGCACTTTATAATCCAGCACCCTCGATAAACCAGCACAATTTTCAGTAGCCAAAATGTCCTCTTCATGTACATTGCAGCAGTAAATCAGATTTGTTAATCCAGCACCCTCCCTAATCCAGCAGATTTTCGTGGCACAAATGGTGCCGGATTATAGAGGGACCACTGAGTAGACGGTGAACCTCTTTCAGTAGTCTAAGTATGGTGTTATGGCAAATCACTGCCGCTAGCCTTTGGGTGTCATTACGTTCATGGTAATTCCAATGCATGCCCGCATCAACGTGCCCTTCTTTGGTGTCAGTTATGCTGTGTGCACGCGTAGAGGTGATACATTTATTGTTCCTGTGTGGACCAGTCTAATCATAATTATTCCTGGCTGTTCTTTTGTGCTATTCATGCTATTCATGATGCATGTAGTAGTAGTAGTGCATCGTGTTGTGTTATGCATGTCTCATGTGCCGTTTCCCGCGCGCGCGTGAAACCGACTTCGCGGCTTGTAGTTTCTGTGCATAATTAGTTGAGTCGGCGTCTTGTTGTTTGGACTGGAGACTACACCGAGTTGTGTTCTTTTCGTTGTTTCAGTCAGTTACAGCTTGCAGTTATTCCTCTCGTGTAGTTCAGTTGCTTTACTAGTGTCTCATCCTGAAGTAAAGATTATTCGTTATTATCTCTGTGAGTCAGATCCCTCTTTCGTCTAATGGTAGCAGAGGATGGTTATCTTCACCTAGTCGGAAGTCCATCGGAGCGAGATGTCTGAACACAGCGACGATATCAGTCACGAGCGGAACAGGGTCACGGTAGGCGATGATGTTGGGCCTGGCCATGATGTTGAGCCTGGCGATTATGTTGAGCCTGGCGATTATGTTGAGCCTGGCGATTATGTTGAGCCTGGCGATTATGTTGAGCCTGGTAATACGGACGGCCAGGAAGAGCAAGTCAACGATGCTGTGACCTCGGCATCTGCAGACATGAGAGTGGCAAAAATTCAAATGAAACGGCGCTTGACGTCGCGGCGACGAGGCTTGATTTTGCAGATCCGTGACGAGAAGTTGAGTTTGGATGCCGTGAGAGACGAATTCGAGGCAGTGCAATGGTTCGCCAACGAGGTGAATCAGGTGTTGGAGTCACTGGTGACGTGTTTTCAAGCCGAGAAAAAAGGCAAAGCAGTCGACGCAGCAATAACGGAGCTGGAGGAAGTGGCAGAAGCAATGGCGCACCTGGAGCAGCAGGTGGAGATGTACGAGGAGCAACAACATATTCGTGCGCGTCATTCCGCAGGGTTCAGTCAGTACCACCCTGTTATGCCATCAAGCTTCAACGCTGCTCACGACCCATTAGGTGGGGTGTCAGGAACTGCTCAGTCTGCGAGTTCTGCACAGTCCGCTAGACCGTCTTCCGCGCCTGGTGGCGTCAGTGCGGACTTCACTCCTGTCACAAGCAACACATTCAGCACCAACAGGCCTGTCAGTGCCAGTGTCTCAAGTAAAAGCGCAATCACCTCACTTTCTTCGTCTGTAGGTGCACCCACAAGCTCCAGCTCGACTCCACCAGTCAGTGTGAGTGCAGGGAGCAGTCACCACTCGAGTTCTAGTACCAGTAGTAGCCATAGCATCAGTTCCCGCACAAGTAGCAGTGCGCCAGCAGCAGCAGCAGCAGCAGGCCCCACAGTGCCACTGAGTCAGGCCAGCAACACCAGCGCACCTGTAGCTGTACAAGCAACCAATAGCAATGTACTGCCCAGGCAATCAGCCCCTGTTCACTCCAGCAGGGTACACACAGCAGTCATGAGTGGAAGTAGCCAGAGACCAGCCCATACATTACACCAGTCTGTGGCCGCCGTCCCATTTGTACCTAGAGCCAGTTTCAGGCCTACACAGAGTGTGGCACATGGCCATGGCGGCAGCTACAATGGTCTACCAGTACCAACTCCATCGAGACCATCTAGTTTTGCTGCACCACCAGCTGGAGCCGCAGACGTCTTCAGCAAAATGAGAAGCATTTCAATACCCGTGTTCGATGGTGATAAGCGTGCCTATGAGTTATGGAAGGCCACGTTCTTGGCGTGCGTGGACAGTGCGCCAATCAGCCCAACCCTGAAGCTGTTGCAGCTACGACAGTATGTAGCGGGAGAAGCGCTAAGATGCATCGAGCGGCTAGGGTACGCCCCGGACTCATACCACAAGGCAATGGAACGCCTGGAACGGAAATTCGGAGGTACGCGGCGCCAAGTGATGGTGTACTTAGATGAACTGGAACGGTTCAAGCCATTGCACGGAGATCGAGTCAACGCACAAGATCTGGAACAGTTCTCAGATTTGTTGGAAGTAGCCGTGACCAACTTGAAAGCAGCGGGTCGCCAATCGGAGCTAGAGGTGGGCACTCTGTACGCGCGAATCCAGCAGAAGCTGCCAGAAGACCTGCTGACAAGATACCATAGGTGGCTCTATGAGCATCAGCGCCCAGAAGGGGTGGAGGCGTTGCTCGAGTGGGTCAATCTCGAGGCCGACTTTCACATTACCGCCAATGAAGCCATCGCAGGCCTAGCACCTGGTCGCCATAGACATGGCCGAGAGCGCCCAGCAGCCCGAGGCCACTCATTCCATGCAGCAGAGTCACCCAATCCGACACCGGCAGCGTGTCCAGTATGCTCCCAGGACCATCAAGTGTGGACATGCAAAGATTTCAAGGAAATGGATGTGGACAAGCGTTGGAAAGTGGCGAAAACACATCGGCTCTGCTATCGCTGTCTGGGCAAGGGCCACCGAGGTGCTGACTGCCAGCGGAAGAGAAAGTGTGGCGTAGACAAGTGCAGCGATACCCACAACTATCTGCTTCACAGGGCAGTAGCCATTGACACGTCTAGAGCCAGAAATGGCACGGAAAGGGGTCGTACCAGTGAGACAGCCAGAACCACAACCACTGCTAACATCGGAGCAGGCGCCAGACCGTTGTCACTGAGAACCTTGCCGGTCGTTTTACGAAACGGTGACCGCAACCTCAGGGTGAATGCGCTGTTGGATGATGGGAGCACCCAAAGTTATGTGAACACAGAGGTAGCGGACCAGCTCAACTTGCAGGGACCCATGAAACAGGTTTCGATCAGCACCCTCAACGGAGCAGTGGAGTCTTTCGAGTCAATGCCAGTGGATCTGCTGGTAGAGAGTGTAGATGGCAAGTTCATCAGTCCGTTCTCAGCCATCACAACTAGTCACGTCACAGGCACACTGAAACCGTACGATTGGACCGTCGAGTCAAGTCAGTACCATCATCTGCTGGACATACCCTTCGAACAGCCAGCAACTCGCCAGATTGATATGCTGATTGGCCTGGATCATGCCGAGCTTCACTACTCTCTGGAGGAGGTGAGGGGTGATCAGGGAGAACCGGTGGCGAGGAGAACCGCGCTAGGTTGGACCTGTGTTGGACCTGTGAGTGGAAGCTCAGATCATCACCGCACTCACTTCAGCAGAGTCGATGACGGTAATCTGGAGATGCTGGTCCGGCGTATGTGGGAGGTGGAAGAGCCTCGCCGACAGAGCCCGCTTGCAGCAAATGACCGACAAACTCTTGCAGATGCAGAGGCAGCAACAAAGTACTGCAACGGCAGGTACACCGTCAAGCTGCCTTGGAAGAGAAGCCCGCCAGAGGAGAACGGTAGCTACGAGATGGCACTGAAGAGACTGCGCTCGACAGAGAAACGCCTCCACAAGGAACCAGAAGTAGCAAAGGAGTACTGCCGTGTACTGCAGCATCATGTGAACGCTGGATACGTGACTGCAGTAAAGCTCGAGTCAACAGGTGGTTGGTACCTCCCGCACTTTCCAGTCACCAGACCAGATGCAACAACAACTAAAGTGAGGGTGGTCTTTGACGCATCAGCCAAATGCAAAGGAGCAAGCCTGAACGACTACCTCCACCCAGGACCGAAGCTGCAGAGAGAGCTACCGCACATATTGCTGCGATTCAGGGCAAAGCCAGTTGCTATCGTGGCCGATGTAGCAGAGATGTACCTCCAGATCGAGCTGTCTGAAGATGATCAGAAATTTCATCGTTTTCTGTGGCGGGACTTGGATGCGTCAAAGGAGCCAGTCGCCTACCAGTACCAACGGGTGGTGTTTGGCGTGAATTCGTCCCCATTCCTAGCACAAATGGTGTCTCAGAAACATGCTGAGCAGCTAAAAGAAGAATTCCCACGTGCTGCAGAAGCGGTGTTGAAGTCGACTTATATGGACGACACTATGGATTCCACCGACGATGACAAGGATGCCATCAAACTGTACCAGGACCTGAGTGAGCTGTGGCACCGTGCCGGAATGCATCCTCGCAAGTGGATTTCGAACAGCACCGAGCTACTCCAACTGATCCCACCGGAAGATCGTGCCAAGCAGGTGAATCTTCAGGATAGTATTCTGCCGTCAACCAAAGCGCTTGGTGTGCAGTGGGATGCAGAGACGGATGTCTTTACGTTCAGGTGTCGAGCACCAAGTTACTCAGTCCTGAGCAAGCGGACCTTTCTGAAGATTCTGGCGACTCTGTTCGACCCGCTGGGGTTCGTCTTGCCCTTCGTGATGAGCGGCCGCATCCTGTTCCAGGAAATGTGGGTCGATGGTATTCAGTGGGATGAGCCACTGCAAGATGATCTACTTGCCCGAGCAGTGCAATGGTGTGATGAATTCGAGAAGCTAGAAGCCGTGGCTGTGCCCCGTTGTTTGAGACTGTCAAACACAGAAGCGATCACTGCCACGGAACTGCACATCTTCAGCGACGCATCGCAAGACGCATATGGAGCAGTCGCCTACCTCCGTCACAGCTACGAATCCGGGGCTGTGACCTGTCGCCCGGTGGCAAGTAAAGGCAAGGTAGCTCCGATAAAAAGCACCAGCATCCCGCGTTTGGAGCTGACTGCGGCGGTAGTTGCAGTAGATTTGGCTGTGTCAGTGGGTGAAGTGCTGGCTATACCCGAGAGCAGTTGGCATTGGTGGACGGATAGCATGAACGTCTTGTGGTGGGTGCGCAATCGAAGTCGCCAGTTCAAGCCATTCATTGCCAACAGAGTGGCAGAGATTCAAGCCTCAAGTCAGCCAGGTCAGTGGCACTACGTCCCGACAGAGTGCAATCCTGCAGATGTGGTTTCCCGTGGGTCCAGTGCCGCCAAGCTTGTACAGGAGGCCCAATGGTGGAATGGACCGCAGTATCTTCTCCTTGACAAGTCCCAGTGGCCGCCACCACCCAGCAAACTCACTTGTCCTGTCGTGCCTGAGGTGAGGTCCGCATGCAAGGAAGCCACAATGAGCACAGTTGAAGGAGTGTCACTCTTCACGTTTGTGAGCAAAGATTGGAAGCTGGAACCCAGGAACTTCTCATCGTGGAGAGTCGCCGTACGTCGTCTAGCCTGGGTGCTTCGCTTTGTCAGCAACTGCCGCACCCCGGTTGATGAGAGGCAAGTCGGCAGCTTGAGCCCTGAGGAAGTGACAGACGCGGAGCTTTCCTTCATCAGAACAGCTCAACAAGAGAGCTTCCCAGAGTATGCTCTCCTGAGAAAGGGGAAGGCAATCCCAACGACCAGCAAACTGGCTAGTCTTTGTCCTCGGCTAGATGAAGATGGAGTCATGCGAGTGGAAGGACGGACCCAGAATGCAGAATTCCTACCCGAAGCAACTAAGCATCCAATCGTTCTACCACGTCACAACTGGGTTACATACCTGATTGTCAAGGACCAACATGAGGCTGCGAACCATGCTGCTGGAGTCAACCACACGTGGTCCCTGCTGATGCAACGCTTCTGGATCATTGCGGGACGAGAAGCAGTTCGTGAGTGCGAGCAGAGGTGTACTGAATGCAGAAAGAGGAAAGCCAAACCTGTCACTCCAATCATGGCCCCTCTGCCGAAGATACGGTTAGAGTCACCGCGTCGTGCCTTCGGCCGGGTTGCTGTGGACTACGCCGGGCCATTTACGACAGTTCAGGGTCGAGGACAGAGGCGGGCAAAGAGATACCTCTGCCTCTTCACTTGTCTCACGTGCCGTGCTGTGCATTTGGAGTTGTCCTATTCCCTGGACACCAGTAGTTTCTTGAATGCCTTCGAGAGAATGAGCAACCGCCGAGGCGTGCCAGAAGAGGTCCTGTCGGACAATGGGACGAACTTTGTAGGAGGACAACGCGAGCTGAAAGAGCTAGAACAAGAACAGGCGGCGCTCCAGTTGAAGTTCCCACGTGTACGGTGGCACTTCATTCCTCCAGGTGCCCCGCATTTCGGCGGCGTTCACGAGACCATGGTCAAAGCCGCCAAGAAGGCCATTCATGCAGTTCTGAGTGATGCCAGCATCACCGATGAGGAGCTTCAGACCGCTTTCTGTAGTGCCGAGTCTCTCCTCAACTCAAGACCGCTAACAATCCCTTCTGTGGATGCCAGAGACGACTTGCCCTTGACTCCGAACCACTTCTTGGTTGGACGTGTGGAGCAGTTCTCCATCGGCACAAGCAGTGACGATTACCGCCTACAACAAAGATGGAGGAGAGTGCAAGAACTTGTCACACACTTCTGGCACCGTTGGATGAAAGAGTGGGTCCCCGGACTGAATCGCCGTGCTAAGTGGTCCGCCGAGGAAAGGAACATAGCAGTTGGAGATATCGTCCTGGTGATCACGGCAGATACGCCACGGGGTAAATGGCCCCTTGGAAGAGTGACGGAAGTGATGCCAGGTCAAGACGGCACCGTGCGTGTGGCAAGAGTGCTAGTTGGCGGGAAGACAGTGACCAGGCCTGTGGTGCGACTGTGCCCAGTTGTCACGGTGGGCGTCGCTGGACCTGATGATAGTGAGGACTGATTCTGAATCGCCCTAGCATGCTTACCGGCTGGATGTGTCTCTCTTGTGCATCAGTCGTCCGTTTTTGCAGCCATTTATGTTTCTGTACAGCTAGCTCATAGCTCGTTACGTTTCGTTTTCTTTTCTGATAGTTCATTTTAGTTGTATCAACGTTGATACTTACCGGTAGTTGTATCAAGGAGGGTGGAATGAGTAGACGGTGAACCTCTTTCAGTAGTCTAAGTATGGTGTTATGGCAAATCACTGCCGCTAGCCTTTGGGTGTCATTACGTTCATGGTAATTCCAATGCATGCCCGCATCAACGTGCCCTTCTTTGGTGTCAGTTATGCTGTGTGCACGCGTAGAGGTGATACATTTATTGTTCCTGTGTGGACCAGTCTAATCATAATTATTCCTGGCTGTTCTTTTGTGCTATTCATGCTATTCATGATGCATGTAGTAGTAGTAGTGCATCGTGTTGTGTTATGCATGTCTCATGTGCCGTTTCCCGCGCGCGCGTGAAACCGACTTCGCGGCTTGTAGTTTCTGTGCATAATTAGTTGAGTCGGCGTCTTGTTGTTTGGACTGGAGACTACACCGAGTTGTGTTCTTTTCGTTGTTTCAGTCAGTTACAGCTTGCAGTTATTCCTCTCGTGTAGTTCAGTTGCTTTACTAGTGTCTCATCCTGAAGTAAAGATTATTCGTTATTATCTCTGTGAGTCAGATCCCTCTTTCGTCTAACGACTGTACTACTATTAATTTTTTACTAGTAATGGTGCCATGCTTTTAGTACAGTGAAACCTAGTTTTTTAATGAACACTGATAAAACAAACTGAAACTTTAGCTTTAGAAGAACTAGCACTCATAACTCTAGTGGATAAAATTCACTGGGTACTAGTATCCACTGGGTATAAAATTAATATGGATTCGAAGAACTCCCGTTATCGCAAACAAATACTGCCGGTCCTGGCTTGGTGTTCGTCCTAAAGCGGTTTGACTGTACCTCAAAAGAAGTGTAACTAATTATGCATTCATCCCCCCCCCCCCCACACACACACACGACCTAGCCAACAGATTGCATCGGTAAGGCAGTTGTTTCGCAATATTTTTGTCTCTCCAAAGGCAGTTCCTCGCATCCTATTGCCACTTATACCAACTCTCATACCACCGCCGATCAAACAGAGGTGTTTGATCTGTGCCAATTTCCCTTTGAAGCATGGCCATTGCAACACTGATAACCATGATAACAGCATACCTTTAAAAAATATCTGGCAAACCTGTAGGCTGTAGGCCGCATAGGTCGTGCATTCACCCACCTGATCACAATAATTACAGTATAGTCAATTTCAACAAAATCAATTTAAAAGCATGAACAATCCAGCAGCAGGTATTTATACACAGTGCATCTCAACATCAACTTAGTAGTAGGTATACCCAGGCAATGCTGTAGACTGTAGTCACTGAGTAGCTATAATGATTATGTACATTGAGGTACTGCCTCAACAGAGTCAACACCTGATTTATAGCTGAACTTGTAGCACAGCCCGCACATGAGTGTTACTATCTTCAATGAAGTTGTTGTAGTACTCTCAAGAATCCTAATAGGATTTGTTTATGATTGTCAGCACCTGAGCAAGACACAGTGCATCAGGATTGAGCACTGTGAAGTAGGAATAGACTCCAAACGGTGGAAACTTCCCCATAGTGCCTGGATCCACGGACCGGTGTCTGATCTCCTCATGTGTTGGGCGGTGGTTCCAGAGACCAGTTGGT